AAAAAAAAAAAAAAAAAAACAAAAACAACATTCGTCATATTTAACAATAAAGATTTTATTTTAAAATCACTTTTAGAAAAGATAGAAGTGAACTTAAAATTTTGTTGAGATTAAATTTCTGCAACTAGTAGTGGAAATTTGAAATTAAAAAAGAATATAATATATAATATATATTTATATATTTTTTTAAATTTTAATTATGAGATGAAATAAGACAAAGAAATGTTTCAACAAATATAACATAAATAAGGGGATTAAATTGAAATTGAAATTGAAATTGAACAATGCAAAGAAAGGTTTCCGGTCTGTATGTAGTGATATATCGGCAAAGAAGTTACGAAGAATTGGTTATGCATGTTTTGAGCCTTGAGAGTTGAATTTTTATTTTATACAGACAAAGTAGAAAAATCATCAATCTTAGGGGACATCTAAGGGAGTAGGGAGGGGTTGACACGCTTCCCCTTATAATAATTCGTCTTTTGATGATAGAACTTGATGAACAGTCATTATCAATTTGCTTTGCCGATTTCTGTTTATACTGGCGACCTTCGAGAGGAAGAAATAGAAACAGACATGATGAGGTCCAGATCATGTGTGTATGTACAACAACATATATATCATGACTCCCAGATAGTGATTTGAGTGTATGAGCTTGCGTTAGTAAATAAAGGAATTAATAAAGGTTTATTAAGTCTTCTTTATTTTCCTACACTATTTTCTATTTTGAAAATTCCTCCCCTAGTCCTCCCTACCAAAATTAACCCAGAACGCACTCTCCGATGTTTGGCCAAACTTTTGGCTTCTATGAATTTATAAGCAATAGGTGACGGCATTTTGTTTAAATAGTAGCAAGAGTCATAACTAACAGAATACTAACGAACTGTTTCTACGTCAAGACAACTCCTACCCTGTTTTACATGTGATTCCAACGGTGTAAGCAACGTTGGACTGGATTGAGGTTGTTTATATAACGTTCATTCTAAAGTGTACAATATGTTGGAACATTATTGTTTATGATATATAGGTGTTCGGAAGACATGGGGTTGAAATATATTCATTTGACTTATGTTTGAAAGTATGTATATTAAAAAATAAAGATAAAAATGTGCAATGATTAAGTTCGTCTAACAACAATCTTATCGTAATATATAAGGTACAATATTAGTTATCATTCTAAATCGCATAATGATTTTATATTCTTTATTCATATGAACTAGTACTCGATCATGTGCACATGCACAAATGAAAATAAAATATTATAAAACATATTTATAGATAATATATTTAAAATTTTATGTTAGTGCATATATCACATTTTAAAAATATGATCACTAGTGTAAATGAACATTATAATTATTGATTATTTTACTTGTATATAAAACATTGCATAGATTGTTTGACGGTCGTAATTGTCAGCTTTCTCCACCTAGGGGTTTGGACTCCCGGTGGGCCATGACCATGCATCGGGGATTCATGAACTTCCACAGTGCTCTTGCCGTAGGGTGAAAACCCATTTTTGGATTCTCTGTGGTTTTTGTCCTCCCTAAAATTCGAACTCTGCACCCTGAGCATAAGGTGAGGTTCATGGCAAGTCTTGGTGTGTGTGCGTGTGTTTGTGTGTGTTGGTGGGGTGATGTGGCGTGTGTGTGTGGGAGAGAGAGAGAGA